TATTCCATGCTGGCGAGGCGATGGAAAGGCACGGCATTCCTTACATGCGTTTCCGCTACCGTCTACCCCCCCCCGGGCCATCCGGCCACCCATACCTTCTTCAGCATGGGCCAATCGAAGCCCACGTCATGCCCGTCCACGTCAAACCCAAAGTTCTTGGCGCCCAGCATGATCTCCCGGACGTGCGCGGCGTTCCACATGACTTTCTTCGGGACGCAGCCCACATTCACACAGGTGCCCCCCAGGGCTTTTTTTTCCACGACGGCGACTTTGACACCGTATGAGGCCGCACGCCGGGCTGAGGCAATGCCACCACTCCCGGCACCGATCACCAGGAAGTCGAAATGTGTCGAGTCAGAGGAAGAGGCTAAAGCTTTCAGGAAGGAGTGGCGGGATCGAAGACCGGAGAGTCGGGAGGTCTGCCGCTGGGGAAAGCGCCCCACAAAAGAGGGATAGATGAGGACGAGCGTAGACAAAGTGTTGTGCTCATATCGAAATTCGCAAGAGCTGGTGAGGCATGAAATGAGAAAATTGTCCCGTTGAGGCGAGTTGAGCCGGGGCACACTTTCCCCCTTCGGCGACGTACCTTGACACAGTTCGGCAGAGGCAGGAATGCATGTGCTACATGCTCGAGAAGCACGCTCAACACCAGAGCGAGGAAGAGAACGCTACCGCCACGCACGAATGGTAACATGCTAGTGAAAGCGGTCGAACAGAATTCGGAAAAATTAAAAGAAGTTGAAGCTATTTAGACCTCCTAGGTGGCTTTCCAGGTCCTGTGACACAAGAGAAGAAGGAAAAATAAAGCCAATATAGCACTTGAGATGTAGTAATCTGCACGCAACAACCTCATATATAGGAATACTTGTAAGAATCTCGAGCCGGGCACGTATGTCCCGCCATGTAGAGAGGTGATATACGGCATAAAATTAGCTCAGGTGGTAGGGCGATGGAGTATCATACACCCAGTTCAAATAACGCCAGTAGTAATATATTCCTTCTTGGGCATTTGGGTTGCCCATCATTACAAAACGCTGCTGACGAGTGGCCATAGCCAGCGACACGCTCGTATCTTGGCCCCTCTGCGAGTGAATATTGTGACTTTGTCCTGCCCGACCGAGCGTCGCATTAACAACGGAGTAACCTAAGACATAACGGGCTACGAACGTCGCTGAGGAGAGGGAAGGACGCATGTGCGGGCAAGCCACATATCTGTGATATGTTGGTTGCCTCCTTCATCCCAGCTGTACAGTGGACACAGGCATGGGCTGCTGATGTCAACGATGCCGTGGACAATGGTGCCGTGTGGGTGCGGAGGACCTTGTCAACTGGCTTTCCAACTTGCAGCACGGTGCCAGGAGGAACGCGGCGCCTCTGCCCTCTTTGACAAAAGTTCTTCAACATGCGTTTTCTTTTGGGAAGCCTGTTTGCAGTGCTCCTGTTTGAAAGCGTCATCTTATCGTCCATATCTACTCGCATCCATGACATGATGGCTTAGTCTTCTTTGTTCTTTTTACCAGTTCATGAAGTCTCATTTTATGGCCTTCCTCAGCCTTGCCACAGCTAGAAGACGGGCTCTTCAGGAGAGGCACCATCAATATGTCTGCCTCATCTTTTGCTGCCCGTAAGGGACTTTTCATTGTCGGTGCTAAACGCACGCCGTTCGGTAGGTGCATATCGTTAAGTGTGCCCTAACATGTGTGCATGCGATCCCATAAAGACGTTTTTTCTCCCTTTCCTTCACTCTGCCTCATCGTTAGGCGCTTTTGGAGGTAAACTTAAGAACTTTTCCGCCACCGAACTTGCCTATTTGGCCTCTAAAGCGGCTCTGTGCCAAGCAAAGCTTGATCCTAGCGCGGTCAATGTCGTGTACGCAGGGAACGTTATTCAGTCTTCCAATGACGCATGTTACCTTGCCAGGCACATGGGCTTGAAAGCCGGCGTCCCCCAACATGTCCCTGCTTTGACGATCAACCGCTTGTGTGGCAGTGGCTTTGAAACGGTCATCATGGGTTGTGAAGCCATGGAGCTCGGCCAAGCCTCGGTTGCCCTGGCGGCAGGCACGGAGAACATGTCGGCCGCACCCTTTGTAGTCGACGGGAACAGTGTGCGCTGGGGGGTACCCTTGGGGAAAGGACCCGAAATGAAGGATTCCCTGTGGGCTGGTCTCACGGATTCGTTGGCTGGCACGCCCATGGGAATCACGGCGGAGAACCTGGGTGCCAAGTACGGAATTACCCGGCAGGAATGCGACGAATTTGGCCTTCGCTCTCAGCACTTATGGGCCAAGGCCCAAGAAAGGGGCGCCCTCCAGGCGGAGATCGTGCCAGTGGAGGTAAAGACGAAGAAGGGCATCGACTTGGTCACCGTGGACGAGCACCCGCGGCCGCAGGTGGAGCTGGCCAAGATGTCCAAACTCAACCCGGTGTTTAAAAAAGACGGGCTGGTGACAGCGGCCAACGCCAGTGGGATCGCCGACGGGGCCGGGGCCCTGGTCCTTGCCACGGAGGACACCGTGCACGCCCACAAGCTGGAGCCTTTGGCCAGGGTGGTTGCCTGGTCGCGGGTGGGCTGCGATCCCAGCATCATGGGGATCGGACCTGTGGAGGCGATCCGTGGGGCCCTCTCTGTCTCGGGCGTGGCCTTGGCGGACCTGGATCGGATCGAGATCAACGAGGCCTTTGCCGCCCAGTTCCTCGCCTGCGCCAAGGAGTTGGGGCTGGACATGAGCAAGACGAACGTGCACGGAGGGGCGATCGCCTTGGGCCACCCCTTGGCCGCCTCTGGCTCGAGGATTGTCGCCCACTTGGCGAATGGGTTGAAGGGCCAGCAGGGGGGAAAGAAAGGCTATGTGATGGGAAGCGCCTGCATCGGGGGCGGCCAGGGCATCGCCGTCTTGCTCCAAGCGGTGTGAGAGACGAGCAGAGGGGGGAGGGGTTAAGAGGGAGGAGGGGGAGGGCAGGTATGAAGGATGGTTACAGGAGGGGGAGGAATGGACAGGGAGGGTGGAGACAGGGGGAGGGAGGCTTCCCGGATACCAATTTTGCAAAGAAAGAAGAAACTGAGCGTCCCTGTAGATCAAGAATGGTCCCTCGTTCACTGGAAAAGCTCTGGCTTTGGCATACTTTATTTTCATTACTCTTTGCAAGGGGGCTGATTGTACCAGCAAAACGC